ATAAAGGCTTTCAGCACGATGCACAACGACAAGAAACTCGAAATATCAACACGCATCATCTTTTATGCTTACTGCTAGCTCTAATTTTTTTTTTGTCATCTACCAATGCGACTATGATACGGGAAAGCATACAACCTTTGATGAACTTTCGCGCTCTGTATATCATCACGGACGCTCACAATCCTTGATTACAAAGATTCGCACTGCATTGAGTAATGCCAGCCCTAACTTGCAAGTAACAAGGCAACTCTCGTCTCCTCGTTCTTCCGGGAGATGGCGAAACAAAAGCGAATCTCCAATTTTCTATTAAAGAAGTTGCATACCCTCCCTTTCCTGTGGCCGATTTGGACATTTTATTTTGAAAAGGCGCATCCTCGGATGATGAGGTAGAGCTCTGTCGAAACCCGAAGTTCATATCTCGAAGCCTGTAATGCTGTCACACGCACACAAACAAAAAGAATGAATTGTCACTCGGCCAAGCTAACGATCTGAATCCCGCATGATTAACCTCCTGAATTAACAAGAAAAAGAAACAAGGCGTGAAAATCGTCCATCATTACCGGATATACCTCAAAACTCATGAGGTAAACATCCTTCGTTCCATGACTTCCATTAACGCCATTGGATCATGATATATTTCCCATTGATGTCAGAAAAAGTTNAAGGCCCGGCTTTCACCTGTCACTTCTGGAAAGAAGCGAACCAACCTAACCGCCACCTCATAACGAGATTCACTAGCCACGGTTTTCACCATAAGATATGCAATCGGAAAGATTTTCACGACCCTGAACCCACCTGCGTCTGCCGTCTCTGTGAGACTCCTGCAGATCAACGAGACCACCTGATGGATTGCCCTGCAAAGGGAGACTCCAGTCTCATCTCCAAGCTACAGGAACTGCAAGCCCCCACATCAGAGTGAACCAACGGCCCCAACACCATACTTCTTTCCCCATTGACTGTACTTCTTCATATTTTGACAATGCCAATGCACTGTCCTGACAAAGGACGAAAATGAAATAATACAACTATAAATTATCGTCCCGGAACGAAGTTATTACTGCCGCACGTTTCCCACCATGATCAGTTTGATTTCCTACATCCCATTGGTCAACGTCGAACGGAGATCCGTCCAACCACTCCCAGTCCCCTGAATCACCCTGCCCCAGGCCAATCCAGAGCTCACCCCACTTCGGCAGAGGATGCGGAAAGTAGTTCATGGTCTGTATCATAAAAATATTATTAATTGTGTCAATCCCGACGGAGAGGATGTTAGTTCCAGGAAACTCTCGGCAGTAAGACCATGCTTCATCGAAGGTAAAACCCTGGTTCGAGATGTGAAAGCATGGCCTAAAGCTGCATTTCCAGTCCTCACCATGTGGTCGTGTAGACTTGCAAATGACCGCCCTCGTTTCCGAGCAGTCCCGCTTGACCCATCGATCTGGTACTAAGGCGATTCCACAAGAGACAGAGCAAAGGCCTTTATGACCAATCCAAATGGTGTGAAAGTCGTTCAGCGTTCCATCGATAAATTCAAAGCAATAGGGATCCCAATTCAAGCATTCTGTAGGTTATGCTCCGATCCAAACAGTGGGAGTCTGGCACCGCTCTTGTATGAATAGTTGTTCTTCCCATGAGTGAATGCTCGTCATTTGCGCCTCCCTGGCTTCGCAGTCTATTTTTTCATCGTGAAAAGTCATTTCTTCTTCTAGGAAAAGCAGGAGTGCAGCCCGAATTCTTGCCAAACTTCCTCGCATAGGGATGAGCCAGATGTGGGAAAGGTGGTATATAGCAAAAGGAATCGGTATCCTTCTTAACTGTCATCAGCATTGGAGATGAAAGCAATTGAGAGGCTATTTCCACTGGATTCTATGGTACAAAGGGTAGTCTCGCCGCAGAGTGCGATTGGGTCTCAAGATTCAAGATAGTTAGTGATATCAAGAGGCGATATGAAGTCTCTCTCTCAGAGCAGGAGAAGCCGATGTGTGATGCAAGAAGTTCTCAAAGATTCTGACCCCATGTAGAAAGAACAAGGACTTATCTTCAGACATCGGATCGCAGGCAATGCTCTCTGGAGACTGAGATGAGCGTCGTGACATCGTGTTGAGCATTGGCCTAACATTGGCCCGAGGAACGATCATGTAAGTCCAACGTTGGGAATCGGCGTTCGACCCATATACCTTGTTTTTGATCGTCGCATATTCTTCATGCTGACCCAATGTGGTCAACCTCAAGTGTTCTTTCTCAACTTTTGCTTGCAATTTACAAGTTATGCTTCGAGAATTGAAGATTTATTCTGAGGTTTCCGTTTAGATTTCAGCAAACTTTGAAAAGCTACTTGAAATACAGTCTTATGGAGTGCTTTCGATTTCAATTAGCGAATAAACTAGAGCATATGAAATTAAGTACGCGCTAAATAATTTCACTTCTCACCTTTTTGATCAACTTTTTGCACTATTTTACTTTTATACTCCTCATTAAGAAGCATTAAAGAAGAATGTATTCTTTCTTGAAAGACTTTTATTGAAATATGTTCATAGCTGCATGAAGACAAGAAGAGTTTCGGGAAGCTCTTAGTCGGAGTTTCCTTCTTGCGACTTCTTGCAGATATAAGATGCAGGGAGAAAATTCGGAAGATCATCCCAAGATGATGTGGTCATTACAGCGCATTCGCCACCGTCATCAGTGGGATACCCTTCGTCCCATCTGTCCAAGTCGAAGGAAGATCCGTCCGCCCACTCCCAGTCCCCTGATACTCCTCGCCTCAACCCAACCCAAAACTCACTCCATTTTGGCAATGGGTGCTGGGAGTGACCAGGCCATTCGAAGGTGAGCGCTACTCGCGCTTGTATAAGTTCACTAGCACCTACAGAGAAGAGGATATCAGCTCCAGGGAATTGTCGACAATAAGATCTGCCTTCATCGAAGGAGAAGGATTCCTTTGAGATGTGGAAGCAGGTTTCTATTTCTGCAGGTCTCCAACAGTACCAGTCTTCACCGTATTTCTCGGTCGACTCGCAGATCACAGGTTTGGCATTCAAACAGTCCCGGTTTGCCCAAAGATAGAGAATGCTGGAAAACATTGCATTAATCGAAGCCTTATTGGAAACTCTGGCAATTCAAGGTGGGACTACAATTGGGTTCTGTATCTTTATTTAAGATGATTTAAGCATTGTTATGAAAAAAAAGATGAGAAATGACTGAATCCGAATCCCCCCCCCCCCAAATCCAATCCCAGTCCCCAGGCGCTCCTCTAATCAGTCCAACCCAAAACTCACTCCAGTTCGGCAGAGGACGCGGATATTGACATGTATAAAGGAACACCTTTTCTTATACACTGCTATGACCTATTCGTTCCCTTGCCCGGCAAATATTTGTTCCTAGTGACAGAGGGCGCAGTGATTGCATGCACGAAGGTGAAATGTGAAGGAGCACGAGGGCTATGCTTACAGAGTTTCATTCAACATCCAGACGTTGAACCAACGTTGAATCAATGTTATGTCTTGCTAGGGATGTAGTAAGGTCATATCAACATGTGACGTTACTGCTCTAAGAGTTTCATCTTCTCTTGGTGGGAATGAAGTGAATGCTAGATGTATAAATTTTTGCTGGCAATTCATATTCTGCGTCTCTTACCTTTGCATATGCCACCACAGCGCCACCTATCAACATGTAGAACCATGTGCTGAGTAAGGTAATGAATAAGTCATGGACCCATGAACATCTGTGTCAAGCATCATCTTCATCTGACTTTTCCTTAAAAGTTATGACCAAAAAAGTTCAATTGTCAGGTCAAAATCCAACTTTATTTGACCATATCTTTTGAGAAAACTCTCGGATGCAGATGATAATTGACAGAGGGATTCATAGGCCAAAACTATTTTTTTTTTCCAGTTCCTAAAAAATGGCATAGCTAGTAGGTAAGTGGCGCCTCTGCCGACATCATCGCCCTCTATCGGCATGCAGCGCCATCTAGCGGCATGGAAAAAAACCTCCTTCATCAATATCAGTCTGATCATGACGAAAATTGGCATATAGGAAGATGTGGACGAGTTTCTGGACGGTTCGCTTACAGATAATTTCGTATCAAAATCCTTTTCTTTTTCTTTGCAAAGTTCGAACTTGACATTTTTTTAAGGCAGAAGCAACGTGATGGTTCCAGGATGTCGACCTCGAAGTGCATGCGTATCAATCAGCTTCGATTAAGGTGTAAACTCATCAGCCGGAGGAATTTCTTCCCTTTCGACCGATATCCGAGAGTTGACATTCCCTGAATAACAAGATATAGTCACTGGAAATGATTGGTACTGGACTCGTCCTCCTTCGTGAAGCAAATCCGAATGACAATGTACAAGCCCTGCAGATAGAGTATTCGGAAGTCTCACTGTTTTCATTGGCATTGATCTCTGTGATCTCTGTGCTGTTCATCTTCTCATGTGGCAAGACTTCGGCATTCCCTCACTTACTCGGAAAATCATTCACATATCATGCCACGGATGTCGACAAAGATACGGCCCGTAAACGCCCTCGCGCCGATGATCATACGAGAAAGCGAATCGTGCGTGAGTCAGACTGATGTTGATCCCTTTCAAGTGCCCAGTACCGAGGTCGAACGTTCCCGCGTACGCAGAGCTAATGAGATAGATTCCGAATACTATCAGCGGTGAAGAAGACATTGGGGATCAGCTGGGCCTTGGAGGTAGTTCCCTCGAGCGTTCAACTGTGATTCATTTTACATCGTGATATATTTTCTCCAGCGATTGGCAGCCAGTAAACAAAATCCAAATTCATCATCTAATCACCCCGAGTGTAAATGGGCTTTCGACTAGTACAAAGACAATCCCCTCAATCATTTACTTCCAGTTGAATACCTTCACATTCACATCTGCGTCAATACGTTTCGTTGAGGAATTAAGAACTTTATTGCGAGAAAATGTTCATTGAATTTTTTGGTTCCCGTGACAAGAACAGCATAATGCATAAGCGCATTGTCAAGAATGATTTCACATTGACTTCTTGCAAACGTAGGAATTCGACTCATCTATAATGTTATCATCCCAGGAGGACGCCGTTACAGCAGCACATTGTCCGCCGCCAGGAGTGGGATATCCCTCTTCCCATCGGTCCCAATCGAAGGAAGATCCGTTCACCCACTCCCAGTCACCTGACCCTCCCTGCCTTAGGCCAATCCAAAACTCACCCCACTTCGGCAAAGGATGAGGCAAATAATGCATGGTCCATATCATTTCCAAATGCTTTCCATGGTCAGACCCGATGGAGAGCATATCACCTCCAGGAAACTCTTGGCAATAAGACCTGGCCTCATCGAAGGTGAAGGATTGGTTCGACATATGAATGCATGGTCCATATCTACAACTCCAGTCTTCGTCATGTGCTTGGGAAGACTCGCAAATCACCACCCTCTTTACCGAACAGTCCCGGTTAACCCATCGATCTGGAGCTAAGGAGATCCCACAAGTGGTAGAGCAAGTGCCGAGAAGACTTTCCCACATATGGTGATAGTCGTTGGCCGTTCCATCAAGAAATTCAAAACAATAGGGATTCTCGTTTTGACATCCCGTAGGTTTCGCTCCGATCCAAACAGTGGGAGTCTGGCAGCGCTCTTGTATGAACATTTGCTCTTCACTTGAGTGAATGCTTGTCAATTGAGCATTCATGGCCTCGCAGGCCGCTCGTGCGTCAGTAAAGTTCATTTCCTCGTCCGAGAAGTAATAACAGTGCGAATCGAATTCTTCCCAACCTTCCTCGCACTTAGATGAACCAGATGAAGGAATGGTGGTATATAGCAAATGGAATCGGTATCCTTCTTGATTTTCATTAGCATTGGAGATGAAAGTGATTGAGAGGCTATTTTCACTGGATTCTATGGTACAAGGGGTAGTCTCGCCGCAGAGTACGATTGGGTCTCCATCGTTGCCGGTGATGGTTAGGTAATCACCGAAAAAGCACTCTTCCGTGTATTCTAGGTGGAATTCGTAGAATACGAGCACTATTTTCTTATCTGCGTCGGTCTAATGGGAGATAATAAAAAGAAAATAAATTCGATCTCCAAGCATCTGAAGCAGGTTCATCATCGCTATCAAAACTACTCTAGGTTTTCCTCTCATTGGTGTCTACTTTTAGTAAAATGTTATTGAAACTCACTAAAGTTTCCTCTATGTCTTAAAATTACTCTTGGGCAATTACCCTTTCCAGTGTAATTTTAAGAATCTCGCATTGCATATCCCTTAATGAAATCGAGACAAATACCCAATCGAGTCCAACTTCCGCTCCTGATTTTTCGACCCTGGTTTTACTTCTGTGCTTTTTGAGATTTTCTCCATCCCATAACGAAAGGGCAAAATGGACACACCTGAATTTCCCAATGGCAGTTGCTGAAAGGAGGGTAGGAGTCCGGATATCCAGGAGACTTGATTTCACCACTGGAGGCACTCAACGTCCCGCCGCAATTTTGACACAATGATACATCCGTGAGGCAACAAAGCACCAGGAACATAGACGCCAACACGATACTCTCCATCTACATGCGGAACAAAACAACCTCATGAAGAAAACCCTGGGTAGATCGAACCGCAGCGGACTAAGATCGAACTTACTCTGAAGATTCGGGCAGTAGAGAAAGGTTAAGAGTGAACAGACGAAGTAGTTGTTCTGAGGAGTGGATATAAGGGCTGAGGTCCGTAAGTGTCTCAAAATTTGGTATGAAGTAATTTGAAATGGAGCGACGTATATATTCGGATCTCGTGGGAACAGGCACGTGGAAGAGACAAGGAACAATCGCAGTTTCACGGTCTTCCTGGAAAGAGAATGGAATTTTCCCAAGTGCGATGTTTTCCATGGAAAAGTTTACCTCAGGTTTTTCTTCCGAAGTTGCAATTGGGCCAATCCATAGTGCTTGACGTGACATTTCATGAGGCCTCAGGTTAATGTGATGTTCTAATGCTCTAATAGACACGTTTCGATGATGAGGCAGAGACTGTCACATATGTATTATGTTCCTTACATAGATTAAATTAAAGCCCGTAATTAGTGCACTCACACCAAGATTACAGAACTTAGAAAAGTAAGCAACACTCAAAACTCAGCGACAGTGACACAACGCCCATTCAGAAAGGACATTCCACCTGTAGGCTCCTCCTATCTTTCGCATCCTCACACCTTCATCGTTCGGAAAAAATATTCGATTGATCGCGAGGGAACGGTCACAGATGGGGGCCTTCTTGGAAACATGACGCGATTCTCCCCCAGTGCTGTTTTACATGAGAAATCGCAGTTCTCGGAATTCGTGGTCGATGAGTGCGTCCTTGAAATCGTATCCGGGAAATTGCGTTCCATATATAGCAATCACATTTTTGGAATCCGGAAGGAGAAATCAACGTTTAGGAGCAGCGGCGTTACGTCGAACTGCTTCATCTCAATTGCATGCTAAACTCCAGTAATGCAATTTTTACACTTTGGCTATTATTGACGTAGACAAAAACAAGAAAGAAGAACGCCCTTTGAAGCACGACGGGGAAAAAGCAGGATGAGGCCAGAAGTGAAAAAGTGACAGTGTGTGAAAAAGGATCTTGTGACTCAAAAATAGGAATCCACGAACATGAGATTTCTCAAGTGTACAATAGCAATGCAAGATTGAGTTCAGTGGTGAGGCTCCCATTAGCGTTCCATCAGTTCCGATGCATCGGCAAACATCGGTATCGGCAGCCGGTATGTCATCATAGATGTCATCCACCATGGCACTTTTCCGTAGTATTAACGAAATCGTATGAATAACTTTTATCTTGCAACAAGAGAAGGAGGAGGATTTTCAGGTCGAGAATAGTAACAAAGGGTAGTAGCGACCCTGCATACCCATTTCATTCCCTCCCTCCGTCATGCTTCCCGTCTCTGGCCTGTCACGATTTACCTACTGCTTGAGTCATTATCCCAATCTCTCCAGGTTTCATGAATCAATGCAAAGGGATGAATTATTGACAGAAAGCTGAACTTATCGCCAGTACGACCTGCGCCGGAGGCGGCAGACCGCACAACATACGTATGTCTTACTAGACCACACGCGCGTCCCGCTGGATCCGCTTCGCTGGTAACGTTTCAAGGAACATCAATGACTCAAGTTTAATTTGTAGTTAACAGTAAGAGTTAGAGTGATTAATTCACATATTCTTTGCAAAATGGCAAACACGTATTTAAAGTACGTCACCATTGAAATACATGCCTTATGGGGACGAAAGTCTTCATTTTTTTAAATCAAAATCATTACTTCTAAGATTTCTAGTGTGCCTAACTTGAAATGTTTTCTTGTGTCCGCTTCCGTAAGGGAGGAGAATACATGTTGAAATAATTCTCTCCTATAATCTACGCTAAGGGGCCATATTTCAAAAGTAGGATTTTTCCTGTACTCAGCAATCAAACAGGTACTTCTGAGGGAGGCTTAAATTTTCTGTCTCTGTTTTGTTGGATCAAAAAAGATTCAGGAAAATGGGACTGAAAATGTGCTCTGATGGGTTTTAACGGAATTTTTTTTCTTTTGAAATGTAGACTCAGGGAACTCCATGTCACCCAATTTCAGCCTCATACGTTTCCCCTTTTTGCTGGCTATCCATTTGGTACTTCTTTGCCACGTTTAGACTTTCTAGCGCCCTCTGTTTTGCTGGGTCAGATAATTCGGGAAAATACCCCTTCTGCAAAATATGTGCCCTGAGTCGTTTTAACCGAAAAGTATCTTTTTATTAGCGATATCCATTCTCAGTGATCTACATGCCCACAAAGTTTCAATATTATACGTTTACCCTTTTCGCTGGTGAAAAAAAAAGAAGTTTCCAATAGCGCACCCACCCAAAAGCTATGCCCAGAGGGGATGCACCATGAAAGCTGAATACTCCCTCAACTCAATAATATCATGTCACTTATACGTGTGCCAAGTCTCACCTTTCCATTTTTGTCCAGTTCGGCACGACAATTTTTTTTCGAAACATCGCCCCTTCAATAAATTCCCCAGGGGATGTATCGAGATTTAACATTTTTACTTAACTCCTTGTCTCAGTAGTCACATTCATGGAAAGTTTCAGCTTTTCATGTTCATCAGTTTAGCCGATACAAAAAAATTAGTTGAAAACATCTCCCTTTGAAATTTGTGCCCCCAGGGCATTTACTTCCAAAGTCTGAAGTTTTCTGCAGCATCCCAATAGTTAGTTATGTACCAAGTTTAATTTTTCCACACGAGCTCAATACGCCAGGACAAGAAAAAATATACTTGAAAACATCGACCCCAAAAAATATCCCCCCAGAGCATGGATCTAAAATTTTGCATCATTCCTGAACTCATCGTCTCGTTAGGGACGTCCATGCCAGGTTTCAGCTTTCCATGTCTCGCCGTTTTACTCTGCCAAAAAAAACGTTATGGAGGGGGAATGAGTAACGGGACATGGAAGGCAAAAGAAGCCAAAAGAACACCAAGGAATGGCCGGGAACTGATCTCGGACCTCCTGATTGCCGGTCAGATGTACTACCATTACACCACTGAACCCGGAACATACAATTGATCCTCTGAATCCCATCCTCATACGTCACAATATATATATTTAAAGAAAACTTTTCCCCCCAAAACGTGTACCCCCAAGGTATGTACCTCCAAATTCGGATTTTTTCTGTATCCTGCATCCCAAAAGGCATACATGTACCAAGTTTCAGATTTCTGACTTCTCCAGAACATGGTTAGAATTAGCGTCAGTCAGTCACTCACAATCGTCTATACATGTTAGATTCCTCCTGTCGGCCATCGCAAGACTGCTTGAAATGGGCGTGGTTCGCGCGTGGTCCAAGCTGACGTTATAGCAAAGATCTCCCAAAATTCACTTCATTCCATTCTCCAAATGCAAATGTTCGGTAAGTCGGCTTGTAAAACGATGAACTTTAAGTAGCATGTGACTTCAGAGAGAAAGCAGTTCCCGCGGGAACCTTTCTAAAGTCGAAACCGAAAAAGCGGAAGGCTCACATACTCGTAATTACCCACATCCCGCAAAAATGTATTCTCCGAAAGTTACTCTACCGTCTACAAAGTCGCATCCTTAACGAGGTGACTTTTAAACGGACCGAGCCATAAACCTGATCGCATCCATAATCTCTCCATGTGGAAAGTGTGATGCCCTGAAGCCATGTAAACCGAGTGCCGGGGATGAAGGACAGGCTAGGAGTTTCATCCCACGACTTAGTGCACGGTCACCACGTCGCTGCATTCACCACCGGTCCTCTCAAGTATTTTACCACTTTCGCTGCCGTTCACGCCATATTAAGTGTTCGGCACGGCGAACCTCAGCTGCCGTGTTTGGCAAGAAGAGGTTCAATGGGCATTTAAGTCCTCGGCAATGAATGCATTAAGGTAAAGTTGCATCAACATTTTTGGATCTATTGCCTTCAAAGCCAAGCATTCGGATATCTGATTCTGCATCAGTCTGTTCTGATGGAAGTTGTACCCCATGTCAAGAAGGTTTACAACCATTATGCCCCTTAATTTGTATCCTGGAACCCGTTTAAGGCAAAGGAGCTGTCATGACGTCTCGACCTTCATTTATTATTGCAATGACTGTGAGTGGACCCTAAAAAAAATGTTCCTGCCACCCACCAGTTATAGTCATTGAGGTTACCTAAATCGTTTTCTTATTCCTGAAACTACATAAGCAGTCGTAGAAAAAGCAGCACGTAAGAACCATGAAAGACCGTCAGTGAATGCTAGACCTGTGACTGAGCGTCATCCTCGCGAGATATTCCCAAGTTGTCAAATGCCCGACTGGCATTTGAGAAGAGTGTCAACTCCACCATCCAGGATGGTGGAGTTCACACTCTTTTCACTTCCAAATTCGAAGAATGTATTCACGTATTCTGTCCCTCAATAGGAAGAATACTAGAGACTCGGTTATAGCTGCTTTCTAACAATCTTTCATGGTCATTGTCGCTACCATAGGGCAGTATTGAGACAAAGTATCCATATTTTGTCAATATTTTAAGCCAATCTTTCTCGAGCGTTGTTGACTGCATCCATTCATATTTCTATTCCGCTTTCGCTTTCAATATGAACAAAGAACGTGGTTGACAATCTGTTTTTTCTAATATTTCTCAATTTCAGCGCAGACGATACTGCCAGCCCTGACCACCTCATGAGGACATTGTTTCAGGGCGACTTCTTGCACACGTAGGATGCACTGGAATTTAAAACAGGCTGTCCCATGATGATGTTATGGAAACAGCGCAATAATCGCCGTTTTCAGTATCCTTCATCCCAACGGTCCACGTCGACAGGAAATCCTTTCATCCACTCCCAGTCCCCAGACGTTCCCCTCCTCAGTCCAACCCAGAATTCCCTCCATTTCGACCAAGAATGCGGGAATATACAGTATGTTTAAAAAGCAGTGCCACCAACATTCGTTCCTTCTCATCCCCGATCGAAATTACCGACGCTCCAGAATATTGAAGGCAATGGGAATTGGCTGCATTGAAGTAGAACGATTGGTGTGACACGTGGAAGCATTTGGAGAAGAAGCATGTCCAAGGTTCGTCGTCTTCGTCCGGGGCCTCGCAGA